AGAGTTGATGTTCACTCCATCACTCAAACAACCAATACAAAATGAATTAAAAGAAGTGTTAGTTATCGAAAACCATTATTTTGGAATTGATCATGAAATTAATCATGAGAGTTAAACATTGAGAAGCAAACTACCCTAAGTATCTATCGATAATAATAACACTTTTATACTTTCTTCAGGATTAAATATTTATTAGTTGGATTCATGAATAGGAAACTTGGAAACATTGAACGACCGTTTGTTCCTAGTATGGGACACTTCAGCAATGCGCATCCATGATCCGGTTCGCGGGATTCGAACCCTGGACCCTAGATCTCGCTCACGAACGCTGAACATCTAGTCCGTTGAACCGGAATCCAACAATGTTTATGTCTAACTTCAGTCAATTCACAAAATTGTACCAGCGTCCACCATTGTTATCAGTGAGTTACTGATTCACAACAAACTTGGTTGAATTCCATTGGTTACAGCTTTATTGAAAATTCAATAAACGAACAAACTTCATAACAGAAATCAATCTCACATCTATTATTTTAGTTATTTAAACACATAAACATTGGTACAATGAGATACTAAATACATATGCGCCACATAAATCATTCGGTTTATCTGAGGGTTTGGATACTGCCTAGGTTCCCAAACCGAAGCAGTTGGTTACCATAAGGGCCACACCTCGAGTCTTTGATCTGAAGGTTTGATCCACAAGACAGTGGGGCAACGTGAGGCAATGCAGTCCCATAGTGGCTAGTGACCAACGATTGGTTCATACACCATTTTCCCTTGGGATACTGTAGCCCATGTGCACCATTGGTTTGGTATCAAGGTTTTCCAACTCACCCTCCGTATCCATTAACCCAGTTAAAGCGCTGAACTTTCACTTTTCGTCCTCCCAATTTCATAAACAGCACTCCTGCTTCTAGAAGTCAGTGAGTAGAAATTCCCTGCCAGTGATTGTATGCACTTGGCCATATGAGAGCATTTGGAGAGAGAGAGAGAGAGAGAAAGAACGAACGAACTGCGCCCACCCTTGACCGTACCAGGTCATTTGTAGGCTCGATTTCACATCACTAAGAAAAATCATCCTCTAGGAACAAATAAGTCCCTAGTCTAATGATTCGTCATTTAACAAAATATTCATAATTTATTCGGTATAAATTTTTAATTTTCTATTCTTGGAAGGGGTTTTGTGGAGATTTTAGAAATTTCACTGATTGAAATCATAAGTCAATTAAAGCAACTTCGTGGATTGGTTGAAGTTAGACATTAACACTGTTGGACGCTGTCTATCTCAGTGGTCTAGTTGGTTAAGCGACTGGTGCGAGACTGATAGGTCCTGGGTTCGAATCTCACGGGGTGCAGGATCGTGGATGCCCACTGCTGAGGAGTCCCATACTAGGACGAAACGGCCGTCCAGTGCTTCCAGTTTTCCCATGGTTGTCTAGCTTCAATTGACTCATGATCTCAACTGTTGAAATTACTATGATAACTACAAAACCCTTTCTGATACTAATCAGTAAGAAAAAGACAAAACAGGCTTCACCTGGATTCATCTACCAGCTCCGAACGTCTTAGTTTTTGATGGAGTTTTGTGCTTTGGGCTGGATGGTTTAGTTGTAGAACTTTCATTGTTCTTCTGAACGACATCATCAGCGCAAACTTCAGGTAGAACATAGTAAAATCTAAGAATTAAACAGTAAACTATTCATTTGCAAAATATTCATCAACCGTCTCAAACTTTATTGTTCTTTCATTACCACATCAATCACTCTCTGTTCTCGTTCTCTTTTCATCAATGTGCTTAACCTCTTACCGCTGGGCATTTCATTTTCGATTGATGTTACATACTACTTATATCTGTCGATATCAGTAGTATATACCACAAAAGTAAGAGTGGATTTCTGAAGAGTTTTGAATCTTTGGTAAGTTTTTATCAAGAACTAATTTTACAAATGAGAACTACCACACTTCAGCTGAACTAAATGTTCTGCATTATGTTTATGACTTACTAAACAGTCCTAAACTAGTGTAGGGTTAGTAAAATGTCACTGAGCCATAGTCAAATCATCCGGCAGTTGAGTCACTGAATATCAAACAAATCATCGATCCTTGTCAAGGTCAAGGAAAACAAACGCGCATCAGTTAAATGTACTCAATGAACTAGCTCAAGCAGTGGGGGTCTTACTTTCGCTTGTATCTACTTTAACTAATATATTTCAGTAATAACGTCCTTTGTGTTATACGGTCTTCAAAGCATTCATAGTACTTTGATACATCGAATGGGTAATTCACGTTAGATGCTGATCGCAAGGTGTGACTTCTAAGTTATCTGTTTCGTTACACCATCCCCATCTAACTCGAGTAGGTCTCCAATCATTCAGCACAGATCATCTACCTTGGTGAACTACATTCGGATTAATTAAGATAGTCCATATTATTCTAGTGAAGGAGAACACAAGTGAACACAACCGATTATATTTAGCACAAAATTACAGAGTTGCTTTATAAATCATACACCAATATTTCATTTGCAAAATGTTCATTAATTGTCTCAAACTTCATTGTTCTTATATTTTCATCATACCAATTTCCTTTTGTTCCCATTCTTCCCTGCTCTATCTTTCCAACCTTCTGTTACCAGACATTCTATTCCTGACTACTTATATCAACATAAGTAGCACACATCACATTAACACCCCTATAATAATTCATATAGTAGTTGAATTTATGAGTCAACTGAAGCTAGACCATCATGGAAAACCTGGAAGCACTGCACGAACGTTTCGTCCTAATACTTGATTTGTTGACATATTGTAATAAGAATCATCATCATCATCCAAAGCATCATCATCATCATCATCATCATCCAAACCATCGTCCAAAGCATCATCCAAAGGATCATCATCATCCAAATATTAAGATTATCTCTATAACAATATGTTTCTTATCATTACATAATCCTAATTTACAACTATACACCCAATATAAGCAATGAACACATAATGAGATTATTCTATTAGAACAATTAAACAGATGTTTATTGTCTCTTTTTAATTCAATTAAAATGTTTCATTCAATCTGTAATTATCATAAATCAAATTTACATATTAAGATAAGAATCATAGATTATGTAATAAGTGTAATATGTAATATGGTATTTAACAAAAAACTAATGCTTTTTACATTCCTATTAGAATGGGGATGTTGTAAAGATTGAAGTAAGTTAAATAGTGGAATTTATATGTCGATATAAGCTAGAGTGCTACTATTGAAAACCTAGAAACACTGGAAAACTGTTTCATTCTAGTATAAGACATCGTAGAACCATGATCTTTCACTCAAAGCTCGAACTCACGACCTTCAATCTCGCATATGAACGCGTAACTTCTAAACCACTGAACCAGAATACAAGGATGCTAATGTCTAATTTCAATCGATCCATGAGGAGTCCGATAATAGGATGAGACGGTAGTCTAGAGCTTTCACGCTTTCAATGATGGTCTAGTTCAGATCGACTCATTATTTCAGTTATTAAATTACTATAATCTCCACAAAACCGTATTCTGATTATAATCATCATGTGCTCACCAGTGTCTTGTTTCAAAATGAATTTCCTGGAGTTCAAGTGAGAAGCCATGACCGGTGGATTTCAAAAGTGTCTGTGATGAGGCAGTAACTCACTGAAGACAATTGAGGACGGTCGCAGAATATCGTGGATTGGTTGAAGTTACACATTAATACCGTTGGATGCCTGATCAGTGGTCTAGAGGTTAAGCGTTCGCGTGCGAAACTGAAGGTACTGGATCCAAGTTTGTTTGGTGTGGCATCATGGACAAATGCAGCTGAGGAGTCCAATACTAGGACAAAACAGCGATCCAGTACTTTCAGGTTTTCCATGATAATCTAGCTTCAACTGACTCACGAATTCAACTATTCAAGTAACTCTGAATCATTAATTAAAAAAAGACTACTCTAATCCTTTTTTTCAATTATATTATAACTTATATCTCATCCTACTACATATAATTTTTACAACGGACCTGGATGAACTCCATTGGTAACGACTTATCACTAGAACTTCAGGAGTGTCTCCTGAAGTCAGTCACTAGTGAGCAGGTGATTATTATTATCAGAATGGATTTTGTGGAGATATTAGAAATTTCACTGATTGAAATCATGAGTCAATTGAAGCTAGATCACCATGGAAAATCTGTAAGCATTGGACGGTCATTTCTTCCTAGTATGGGACTCCTCAGCAGTGGGCATCCACGATCCCACACCCCGTGAGATTCGAACCCAGGACCTATCGGTCTCGCACCAGGCGCTTAACCAGCTAGACCAGTGAGCTGGCATCCAATGGTGTTAATGTCTGATTTCAACCAATTCACGAAGTCGCGCCACCGTACACCATTGTCTTCAGTGAGTTGATATCTCACAAACCTGGAAGTTCTAGGGAGAAGCCGTTGCCAGTGGAGTTCAACCAGGTCTGTTGTGAGATAGGAACTCATATAATTTTTACTTTATAAATTAATAATTCTAAAATAAATTTCAATAGTTGAGATCATGAATCAATTGAAACCAAACTACCATAGAAAACCTGTAAAGCACTAGACAAACATTTTTTTCCTATTTTGGGACTCTTCAGCAGTGCACATCCACGACTCCACCTTGCTAGATTCGAACTCAGGACCTATCAGTCTTGCGCATGAGCGCTTAACCAGCTAGACCACTGAAATTGCTGTCATCCAATAGTGTTAATATTTAACTTTAACTAATCTACAAAAGTGAACGACACATTCATCATTATCATCAGTGAGTTTATTTTATATACCTTGAAAAAAGCTTGATTGTCCGTTAATGTATCATTTATTGGGCATTTTTTTAAAATTTAATTTGTTTCTGAATTTTGATTGGTCTATATACAATTAATATTTTCAACCAATCAAAATACAGCTTTTATCTAAAATAAAAGTATATATAATTGATTGGAATGATACTTAGTCATTGATTCACTTTGTAAATTCTAATCCTAAATCTGTAACATACTACTGATAAAAGTATAATATACATGACATTTCTACTACTACTAATACTACTATTTAACATTACTTTAGGATAATCAGATTATACTGGGCATAAGATGATTGATATTGAATTCTATGGAATGGATTATAAAATGAATTCAAGTGGATTAATATAAAACTTTAAATAGAAAAGAACTGAACTTACTTATACTCTGTTACTCCTCGTGAAGGAGCAAAAGCTGCCCACCGGCAATCTCTATTCAAGAATTGAACTTACTTACAGTCTGTTACTCTTCGTGTAGGAGTAAAGGCTGCTCATCAGCAATCTCTATTCAAGAATTGAACTTACTTGCACTCTGTTACTCCTCGTGAAGGAGCAAAAGCTGCCCACCGGCAATCTCTATTCAAGAATTGAACTTACAAAATTGAAACATGTTATTATTACATAATTATATCCTTTCTATTTTATACTTAATACCTTATATATATTGTATTGGACGTGGTTTTTTTAAATTATCTTCTAATTCATATAATGAATGGAATCCTTCAACACAACTATCTTCTTCATCAATAGGATCATCCATCTCATTACCATATTCAAGTGATACAAATTCATATGCTTATTGGAATTGTCATACTATTCCACCTAATATGACATTATGTAAAAGTGTAGGTTATTCACGTATGGTATTACCAAATTTTTTACATCATGAATCATTACGTGAAGCTATACAACAAGCTAATGTATGGATTGCATTAGTGAATACAGATTGTCATCCGGATATTCAACGATTTTTATGTTCATTATATGCACCAGTTTGTTTAAAAAGTCATCAAGAAGCTAAAATACCACCATGTTGGGAATTATGTAATCAAGTACGTAATGCATGTTTACCTAGAATGAAATTATTTGGATTTGATTGGCCAGATATAGTACATTGTCAACAATTTCCACGTTTAGCTGAAAGTATGTGTATACCACCACAAGAAAAAAGTACAGGTAAGTAAAGTAGAATTATTCGAGTTTTTTTTAAAAGTTATACTCAAGGTAAACATGGATAGTGGTTAGCAGTAGAATCTAGTTTGATGCAGTTTTCGTCCTATTTGGAACTCGTCAACTGGAGTTATCCCTAAAGGAACATCAATTCTGGGATGCAGATAAATCAAGCTGATGAGTCACAAATAGGACGAAACGCGAGTCCAACTGGATTCGATTGCTAGCCACTATTCATCTTTGCTTAAAAAGCTTGCGACTTAGGGCAATATCGAGCTAATCCGCATAGGACGTACAAATGCCAGTAAGAGACTAATCAATTTCATTCCTAAATAACAATGGGAAGATACAAGTAGAACAACATCAAGTGAATTTATACTCAAGGTAGTTATGTAATCCTTGCCATAGATTGAGTTTATAATTCGATTCACAGTAATAGTTAACTTCGAATATAAAAATAGACAGGATGATATTATAAGTATTAACGAAGTGCTTTAATCACCCACTATGTAGTGCGGCAGTAGCTGTATTATCTATAAGTCAAGCGATTATATGATATTCTTCTTTGAATCTATTCGATAAGTTAGAAACGTTCAGTAAGACAAGACAGCAACAACAACAACAACAATAAAAAGACTGGTTTAAAGAAGAGTTCTGGTTTTATTACACTCATTCACTAAAGAGGCATATAAATGCCTGGTCGGACGATGTAGCTGACTGACTGAACAACAATAAATATGTATTTTTTAACGCAACGATAATTATCAATAAATTTATGGATAACAGTAATGATAATAATAAAATGATAATCAACATATTAACAGTGAAGTTAGATAGAAAATAGTACAAGTAAAATCACTTGGTATTGTTTGCTTGTATCTTCTCATTGTTGTTTAAGACTGTAATTGATCAGTCTCTTATTGGTATATGTGCATCATTTGCGAACTGCCTCGATATTGTCTTAATTCACATACGATCTAAGCAAAGACGGATAGTGGTTAGCAGTGGAATTCAGTTTGACGCACGTTTCGTCGTATTTGGGACTCGTCAGCCGGATGTGCTTGCATTCCAGAGTTGATGTTGACTCTAGGATCCTAACCCAATACCATTCACTTCAAACGCCATCGTGTCATCTACTTAACTACTGAATCCTGCTAGTCACTTGCTTATGCAATGCGGGTGAAGTTTACTTTCATGCAGAAATCTGATTCAACCTGTCAAATGTCATTTACACATAATAATTTATTTTAACTAGTTCAATTCAATAATCAAGTACAAAGTTGTCTATTCAATGTTAATTCTTACATTTATAAGTATGGTTAATCATAATACATTAATGTCAAATTAGATTAAAATATAGGGAAATGAATTCAACTAGACAATTGAATTACACTTACTTACTTACTTACTTACTCACTTACTTAGGCCTGTTACTCCCACTGGAGCATAGACCACCGATCAACATTCTCTAACCCACTCTGTCCTGGATCTTTCTTTCTAGTTCTATCCAATTTTTGTTCATTTTCCTCATGTCTGTCTCCATTTCTCGGTGTAATGTGGTCTTCCTCTTCAATTGAATTATAATATCCGCTTAAATCATTATCTCTATTAGGGTTATTTGAATTTATACAATTTCATTTAATTTACATTCAATACTTAACTGTCTTGCTTATCAATTAATTCCAAGCTAATAAACTTTCAAACTGTACAAAACAAACATTGAATCTATCAATAGATTATGTCTACACTTTAATAATTTCAATAATTGAGATCATGAATTAATTGAAGTTAGATCACTATGAAAAACCTGGAAGCAGAGGATGGTCATTTCTAAAGATATAGTGTTCGTTTATGAGACCAAAGGTCCTGGGTCCAAATCCCGTAAGTGGGATCATAGATGCGCCCTGATGAGGAGTTCCATGCTAGGACGAAACCGTCGTCCAATGATGCTGATCTAACATTGATCCATTTATGATCTTAATTAAAATAACTTTTTAGTCAAAAACCGAAAATATAATTTCTAAATTCTTCAATATTTAGATGTATAATATACATAATTATGAATCATACTGCAAACTTCATGACATTCTCGACTAATATTTAAGATATTAGCAGTTAGATTTTCAGTTTCTGAATAAGACTAACATCTATTTATAAGCATGTGGCTATCATGAGTCAGTAGCTAAAAGAATCACGATGGTATTTGAAACGAATGGTATTGGGTTCGAGTCCTAGAGTGAACATCAGCACTGGAATGCAGGTACATCCGACTGACGACTCAGAAATAGGATGTAACACATGTCCTAGATTTCATTACTAACCACCATATATATAACCTTCGAACCTAGCATTGCAGTCAAAATGTACATAGAATATCGTTGATAAGCTATTAGACAGATTCTTTGCATAATCGACATATTACCACTTTATACAGTTGGTTCATGATGCAGGATCTGACTTCCATTATATTGTATGATTGATTGTTATTGAAATATATGTACATATATATCGTCAATCCTCGTATGAATTGATTTAAATCATAATGGAACATTCCACCCCCCACCCGCTGGATGGATCAATGAGCAGAGTTAACATGAGGACAAAGTATCGACAAGATAATACAATTTAAGCATGTCCATTATGATTGCTGTATTGGCTTCGATGAATGTGTTACATTAAAGGTCAAGTCATTTGAATTACTCGTCAATTAACTTGGTCGCTTAATTCGTTTACCGGATAAATAGAGTTCAAAATATTCACCATTTGAGCAGATTTCCAGGGTGTGTTTTAGTTTGAAGATGGGCTCACCACTTTAATGTCGTTAAACTTCAGTCAATGATGATCTTCGCAATGTATATCTTATCTATTTCTGAAGTATTTTTTTAGTTTTCTGTTTAGCCCGAAGCTGGTTTATTCTCTTCCACAATAGATTGTTACTAATAGTAATCGGTTAGCGGATATTGAGTATCCTGCGTAGAAAACTGTTGGTAATTACTTGTCCCTTCTTGATGATTGTCGTAGTAGTTCTCGAAGTTTCATCTCTGAAAATTAGAACTGTCTTCAGGCTTGTATTGAAGATTTTGACTTGCATATGTTATCCTTGCTTTGCCAATCCTCGCCTTTATGTCTGCATCAAATCCTCTACGTTTATCGATCACGTTAACCAGATACGTGAATATTTCCACCTTTTCCAAAGTTTCTCCATCAAGTATGATTAGGTTGGTGTTCTTCGTGTTGTATTTGAGGATCTTCCTTTTTCCTTTGTGTGTGTGTGTGTTCTGAGGTCTACTGATGCAGAGACTGTTACTATATTAGTTGTAATGACCTGGATTCATTGATTTCATTTATTAATCCAGTTTAATTGTTGTTTTAAGTCCTTTTTAAAAAAACTTTTACACTTTCCTCTCCAATTGACTTAATTGGCTTTTTTTCTTTCTCTCCCTTCTTAATTGACATCAATTATGGTTTTCATTTCTAATAAGAATAATAATTGATTCGATCTTCAAGAAACCATAATTATCTTGGCTCTTACAATTGAATAATTCAATTCATGAATCAATTGAAGCTGGATCACCATGGAAAACCCGATTAGTTGAAGTTAGACATAAACGCAATTGAATGTTGACAACTTCAGTGATCTAAGGGATTAAGCGTCCGCTCGCAAGATCGATAAGTACTAGGTTCAAATCCTGTGAGTGGGATCGTGAATGCACGTTGCTGAGGAGTCCCATAATAAAATGAAACGGCCGCCTAGTGCTTCCGGGTTTCCAATGATGGTCCGGCTTTAATTGACTCATAAATTCAACTAATAAATTTTCAAAAGGGGTTTTGTGAAGATTTTAGTAATAGTTGAATTCATGAGTCATTTGAAGTTAGATTACCATAGAAAACCTGGAAGCACTGGATGGCCTTCATAGATCGAACCCGAGTCTTTCAAACCAAATAACCAAAAACATAAACCTTATATGAACAATAAAGGTATAGGCTTTTCACGATTCTTTCAATTGTTTATACGTTGTTGAATATATGTAGATAATTGACTTTCCTGCCCAACAACAATCACCATCCAACCCTGTCTTGGGCAATCCTTTCCAGTTCTTTCAATTTCTTATTCATTCTTCTTCATATCTGCTTCTATTTCCAGACGTAATGTGTTCTTTGACCTTTCTCTTCTTCTCCGTTTCCCTTCGGAATTCGAACTTAGGGCTTGTCTCGTGATGCAGTTTGATGATTTCCGTAATGTATGTCCTATCCATTTCCTGAATTTCCTCTTTAGCTAGAAGCTAGTTTTTCACCTCCCGAATGCCCTTGTACAGTTGAGAGTGGGGAGAGTCAGCTCTCCTTCTCCAAATTCTTTCATATAGCCAGGTGCGTATAACCACCAACAAGGAAGTCCTACTCACTACCTTCTTGTGGTGGGGTGTTGTTTACGAAATTGTGAGAACAAAAAGAGAATGTCCAGCATTTTAACCGGATTGTGGACACGCAAAGTTCACTTAGGGGAGTTGGAAAACCCTGATTCCAAAACAATGGCGCACATGGGCTGGCTCCAGTATCCTGAGAGAACAAATGGCGTATGAACCTATTGTTGGTCATCGATTACCAAGACACGACATCTCTTTACATTATTTCACTTTTTTGTGGATTACACCCTTAGATCCAAGATTTTAAGTGTGGCCTCCTAAGTAAACCACCTGTTTCGACCTAGGCATCAGGGTAATATCTCAGCCCACATATAAATCAAGTGACTTATGTAGTGTATATTTATTTGATGCCTCCTTGTACCAATGTTTCTAATCATTAACACAACTTTAATATCCTGGTAACAAAAGTATGTTTTAACAAACAAACAAACATACATACACACACTCTTCTTCATTATTCCATATTATGACAGCATGAAAGGTTTTGTCAAATTTTAATCTGTTTATTACTACATATTGATAAGTTGTAAAATGTAAAATTGTACTATTCCCTTACTTGATTTCTCGTAATTGAATTACAAT